CAGCAAAGCGGGCAGGGAAGCTCCTGGGAGCAAGCTCCTGCCCGGGGTGGGGCGGAGGAGAGGAGAGAGAAGGCTTTTGCCTCTTTCTGCTGCTCGAGACAAGGAAGCCCGGAGGTGCGGTGGAGGGGAGGCGGGGTGGCAAGCCAGACACAGAAGGGTTTGGGTTTTAGATAGATATACCCACATTCGCTATCGATGCAATGGAATGCAGATATCATTATTTCGTGTAGATGCATCTGTCTATGAAACCCAAACCCTCCTCTGTGTGGGGGGCTGTTCCTTGGGACTCACCCACCCATGTCACATATAGCTCGTGTATCCCACAGCAGTTACACCCAAACTCCTCCCTGCCTGGCCCTGGGACTCACCCACCTACAGCTATAGCTATAGAGGTGGCTGAGTTGTTTATATTCTCTCTCTCTCACACACACACACACAAATATCTTGTTATCTATAAATAAACGTGTGCGCGTGTGCGCACGCATGTCTGTGTGGTGTGTGTGTACACATACAAATCACAATAAATAGATCTGGGCAAACAGTAGCCTCATAGGGGGTAGCCAGATACGATATAGATACCCCCTATGAGGCTATTGTTTGCATATAGGGGGTGTGTGTGTGTGTGTGTGTGTAATCCAAGGATGGATGGATGATCACACACACCCACACACCCTATACACCATCCATCCTTGGGTTACATACATGCACACACACATGTACATATATAACCCTATACACGCACCCTATGAGGCTGGATGCCCAGATCTATTTGTTTATTGTAATTGGGATGTATACACACAAGTATACATATACATATACATAGATTCATAGGTGTTGGGGTCGGGACCTCAGCAGATGATCAAGTCCAACCCCTGCCTGGGCAGGAAAGAGCGGTGGGGTGAGATGACCCCAGACAGATGCCTATCCAGCCTTCTCTTCAAGACCCCCGGGGTAGGGGAGAGCGCCACCTCCCTTGGTTGGCCATTCCAAGATTTAGCTACCCTTGCTGTGAAGAAGTTTTTCCTGAGGTCTAGCCTAAATCTGCTCTCCGTCAGTGTGTGACCATTGCTCCTTGTTACCCCAGGACTGAACAGAGCATCTCTGATCCCTGGCTGTGCCCCACTAATGAATTTGTAGGCAGGCACAAGACCACCTCGCGGCCTTCTCCTTTCCCCCTTTTCCCTCGTACTGGGATTGTCTCCCTTCGTGCCTGAAGGAATTGCTTCCTTTAGAAACGGCCACCCTTCCTGGACTCCCCTTTCGCCAAGACTCTTATCCTGCAGTGCGGCATTGCCCAAACTCCTGAGCATGCTGCAGTTAGCCTTCCTAAAGCCAAGCACTTCCATCCTACTAGTTATCTTACCCACCCTACACCGTATGGTGAATTTGATCGATTGGTGGTCACTGTCCCCAAGGTGACCACGAATCTGCAGCTCCCCTAGCAGGTCCTCCCTCATAGCCAACACCAAGTCCCGTAAGGCATTCCCCCTAGTGGGACCGTATCCCTCCTGCGTCAGGTGATGGTCCTATAACGCAGGTTAAGGACCTACGTGAACGGTTGGATTCGGCTGACTGCTCCTCCCATATACATATAGATCTGGGCAGACAGTAGCCTCATTGAGGATGCTGACAGGAAGAGCTGGGCTACAGGAGAGCCTGAAATCCAGCGCACAGCAAGCCGGCGCCAAGAAATGCAAATGAAAATAAATTTCACAGCGCAATGCTTTATACTTCCTCATTCCTTTTAGCTCTTCATGCCCATTTGTCCCCATCCTGCCCCTCTTAAGGCATGCACCGGTTAAAACCTCTGCTGCTGCCGTCATAGCTGTGCTGGACTGTGTCTGTGCCCAAAGCTCTAGCAATGACTGGCATTGCGGGACCCCTTGGGCCAGGGATGGTACAGGGGCCTTATACGAGATGTCCTTTGGCTCAAAGGACTTACAGGTCTGCACAGTCCAGGCAGGCAAAGGGTAGGGAGGGAAGCCAAGGTGCAGAGAGCATGCAGCTCTCCCGAGTCCCAGTCCAGTACCCTGGCTCTCGTATCCCGCTGCCAAAGCAGACAGGCAGGAGGGCTTATTGCTGGCTCGAATAGCTCCTCTTCATCAAATCATTCTTCTGCCCTTTGCCCTGCTAACTGTGTGCAACCCTGGCACTGGCCACCCTCCCAGCACATCCAATTCTTCCTTATGCCCAGTCTAGACCCGCTCTGGTGACGAGACCCATGTGAAGAGACCCTTGTACTGCTCTGGAGCTTCACCTGTTTCCTGGAGGAATAAGAGGTTTTGACCTGTTAATTCCTAAAGACTTCTGGGCAGCGTCCTATCGGAGAGATGCCATCTACCGGCCCAGTGAAGGCTGTGCACCTGGGAGTCTCAGCCTGGAAGAGGCAGGGGCACTGAGAGCCAGTCCCCAAGGCAATTTGCTCTGTACTGTAGCCCATTTGGAGATATTGCAGTGCTATTGATCTCTGTGGGATGCTAGTACAGAGGCCCTGGACCTAAGCAGGAAGCCCGAGGAGGTTAGACATAGGGTCTCCAAGAAGAACTGGATGGAGGGGAAGTTTCATCTGCTTTGCTGCCTGGTTTGCAAGGACACGTGGAGAGAAGGGGCTGGGGACCCACTCTCTGCAGTAGGTATAAATGTCAGATGTCATCAAATGAATCAAATCAACCAGCAGAGAGCAGAGGGAGCGGACTTTTGTTCACCTTCCTTTTTGCTGACTGGGTTACACTGTACTTGGGTGGCTTCTGCGACTGCTCTCTCCCTCACACCCACAAAGACAGTGCATTGGGAATCCAGCGCAGCTTAACACGCTTTCTACTGGAAGGCAACCACATTGCAAAGGTGCATAGTTTAGCTGTTGCTAGCGTGAGCTATGCAAGGCATGTGGGAGATCTGGTGCCTCTCTTCAATGATACGATCAAAGTCTTACGCTGCTCTGGCTCAGTGCTGAAGCCTATCCCAAGATCATGCCCCCATCAGCTCCGGCAGGATTCGTGCCCTGCATCTCTGAGATGCTGAAACAGCATTTGGGTCACACTTCACGCAGGTCTACGGAAACGACCAACATT